TAGGGTTTAGGGTTCAGGGTTTAGGACACCTCGTAAACAACCATACGCATTGGGGGCATCAAAAACTTGAAGTACACGGTGCAATGCTTATAGTGTAATAAGAGCCGTAAGAGATCGTGGTGGTACTTGTTTATGCTCCTATAGTACCTAATTAATATGGGGGGCCCTCAGAATTGGGAGAACGTTCTGGGGCATTGGATAGTTCTGCTATCTAGTTATGGCAGGACACCATACGGGATACTGTTGATCATTATTGAGGCCCCCAGATTACTGTGCACATGATCCGCTCGCAACCCAACACTCGATTAGTGCGAGCACAGCCCTAAGGCTCCATGTACCTGTACCCTAAACCCTAAACCCTAAGCCCTAAACCATGATCATACATACGATGGCCTCGAAAGGGCTCCTGTTTAGATACTCCACGGCCAATTTACTATGTCTGAGATGATATGACTGATTCTGACATGACATGACACGACTCATGACGGGAGGCCCTGAAAGAAACTAAAAACGACGAACATGTACGATGAACCCTGTCATGTTATTGGCCCAGCCCCTGTCCGAAGCCAGATCCACAATCTCGTACGATGTGACGGTCTCGAGGTCATCAGTAACCGACACATCGACATCATGTCCGGATCCGGCCGAGGGCCTGCCTTCACCTTCACCCCTGGTCAAAGGCCGCTTCTTGGCCTTGCCAGTCGGAGCAGAGAGCCCAGGTCTTGCGGCCGGGATCGTCGTGAAACCCAGCTCCAGGCATCGCTGGGTGAACAGCTTCGGCGTTATCAGCTCGTGAACACCGCATAGAGGCGAAAGAAGGGGCTGAGTAAGCAAATCTAACGACCGACAGCACACATCGTGTGACGCGAGTGGCGCCGCAATTTCAACATGCGACATTGCTACAATACGAAGCCGTCAATCTTACAGGGATCCAGGTAGAAAGCAAAACTCCCTTGAGCCCTTGAGCCCCAAAACCTATTGGCACTAAAGCCGCAAAGCCTGAAACCCTAAACTCCTGAGTCCTCAGCCCTAAACCCCTAAACCCCCGATCCTAGATCCTAAACCTTAAATCCTAAACCCCCTGCTTCTAAAACCTTCATTTCTCCACACTCAGACCGCTGCGATCAGTGCCTCGCTGACTTGCAATGCCTGCAACGAAAGACTGCCGGCTTCGGCTTTAAGCGCTCCTTCTAAGGCTCCTTGAAGGGTTCCTTTAAGGGGTTCCTTTAAGGGTTCCTTTCAGGGGTCCTTTAAGGGGTTCGTTTAAGGGGTCCCTTTAAGCGTTCCTTTCGGCTTTTGCGTGCTCCTTCCCTAAGGCTCCTTTAAGGGTTCCTTTAAGGGGTTCCTTTAAGGGGTTCCTTTAAGGGGTCCCTTTAAGCGTTCCTTTCGGCTTTTACGTGCTCCTTCACTAAGGCTTCTTTAAGGGGTTCCTTTAAGGGCTTCCTTTTAAGGGATCCCTTTAAGGCGGTTCCTTTAAGTTGCTCTGTTTAACGGTTCCTTCTACGGTTTTTTAGGGCTTTGGAGCTTGGGGACTGAGGGGTTTTGGGTTTAGGGCTGCAGAGCTTTGGGGCGCTTGGGGCGCGGTTGGGTTCATGGGAGATCATACGGTTTAGGGTTTGGGGTTGTCGAGCCTTGGGGCTTAGGGCGCGGTTGAGGGTTTGGGGGTGTCAGGTGGCCTTGCAATAGTTAGCAGCGAGGCTTCTGATTGAAGAGATTTCAAGTTTTTTTCTCTTTTCAGGCTGTAGGGTTTAGAAACCCTGAGCTCAGGCCTAGTAATTAGGGATTCAAAGTGGTCGATGGTGGAGTGACTGCGCATTTCTGTCGCACATTGAGGTTGGCATGCTCGAGTCGAGGTTGCAACCCTGAAGCTTATGAGCCCTAAGTCTCTTGTAGGGCGTAAGCCAGAGACCAAAAGATTTGGCGCAGCATACTCAAGTGCAATCGTTGACCAGTGTGTAGCGTCAACACTTGAGATAGGGGAAACTCGGGCTTCTGTGCAACATCTTGTCACAAACTGCAAGCCGCCGTAAACAGCAGTTGTCCCTAAACCCTAAACCCTAAACCCCTAAACCCTAAACCCTAAACCCCTAAACCCTAAACCCTAAACCCTAAATCCTAAACCCTAAACCCTAAACCCTAAACCCTAAAGTTCAGCAGGATTTTGGCAACCCAGGTCTTGCGCTGTGCTTGGAGCTTCATGGGTAGATGAAGTGGGGTCCTAAGGCCGCTAATGTGGGTCATAAGTAAAGCTACCCAATGTACAACTACTTGGAGGGTTGGAGGGTCGCGGGACTTAGTAACTGGTTATTTTAGGGAATTATAAGTGCCATAACCCCAGTTAGGGTCCCTTGTAGGGTACTTATAAGTCTACTTACTACCTACTTACTAAGTCCCCCGACCCTCCAAGTACCCATGAACCTCCAAGAATGCTACGTAAACTCTACAGACGGCTTATGGGGGAGACTCTGGCCTCTCTGCCCGAAACAAACTAACCAGCCTAGACCCCCCCAACTACCCTCTAATATACCCCAAATACCCACCATCCCAACATTGTATCCTGTGCTCGCGGCATGCTGCCTTTCAGAACACTGAGATAGTGGCTCAGGCTAGTTGGCTGTCCAAACGCACGGGACCGACAATGCGTGCATGCACATACGCTTCGTCGTTTTGCATGCTGAACAGACTTCCCAAAGGCTCCATGTACCTTCATAGTAGATATTTAAGCCTTAAAGGGGTCCCTATGTAGGTACTTTAAGGCCTAAGTATATACTATATGGGTACATGGAGCCTTAGGGCTTGGTCGATTCAGCGCAGGTATCTTATAAAACCCTATACCCGCAAATCGCCCTGAACCCCAATTCTTAAACCCTAAATCCTGAACTCGGACATGCCAGTTGACAACGTATATGTGTGCATCCACATATATATATATATATATATATGGTGCCCCCCCCCCAACGTACCTACCATTTTTATGCTTTCCTGCTCAGGTGCCGACCTCAGCACGTCGATTCAGCTCTACGGCATCGAGGGGCCGTGGCTTGCATTAGGGCGTAAGTTAAATCGTGCTCCCCCACACAGTCCCAATCGTGCTCCCCCACACAGTCCCAATCGTGCTCCCCCACACAGTCCCAATCGTGCTCCCCCGCACAGTCCCAATCGTGCTCCCCCACACAGTCCCAATCGTGCTCCCCCGCACAGTCCCAATCGTGCTCCCACTAAACAGTCCCAATCGTGCTCCCCTACACAGTTCCAATCGTGCTCCCACTAAACAGTCCCAATCGTGCTCTCCTACACAGTCCTATAACCGCGTCCAAAACATTGGAAAAACCAATAAAATCGCATACCAGGAGCTCAAAGCATTGGAAAAACCAATAAAAACCATAAAAACCATGATTTTCAAACTATCTCCCTGGGGTGGTGTCGCGCCTGGACATAATTCGAAAATCATAGTGTTTATGGTTTTTATTGGTTCTTCCAATGTTTTTGGCTGCTGAAACGCTGAAACATTGGAAAAACCAATAAAATTGGCACACAAGGATTTCAAAACATTGGAAAAACCAATAAAATTGGCACACAATGATCTCAAAACATTGAAAAAACTAATAAAATTGGCACACAAGGATCGCAAAACATTGGAAAAAAAACCAATAAAAGTGTCACACAAGGATTTCAAAACATTGGAAAACCAATAAAGTTGGCACACAAGGATTTCAAAACATTGGAAAAACCAATAAAAATGTCACACAAGGATTTCAAAACATTGGAAAAACCAATAAAAATGTCACACAAGGATCTCAAAACATTGGAAAAACCTATAGAAACCATAAAAACCATGATTTTGAAACTATCGCCCGGGAGTGATGTCGCGCCTGGACATAGACTGAAAATCATGGTTTTTATGGTTTTTATTGGTTTTTCCAATGTTTTCAGCTTCGGAAAGTCGGAAACATTGGAAAAACCAATAAAAACTATGATTTTCAAATTATAGTCCCTCCTCGGACATAGTTTGAAAATCATGGTTTTTATGGTTTTTATTGTTTTTTCCAATGTTCTCGGCTTCTGAAACTCGGAAACATTGGAAAAACCAATAAAAGTGACACACAAGGATTCCAAAACATTGGGACAACCACTGCCAGTTGCAGATTTGAAGCTCAAGGCTTTCGTCAGTCATCAATATCCTGAGTGCCATGTCTTCTTCGGACGTTTCGATATGGAAGGGCTTGCCGCGCGATGTGGCAGATTGCATCCTGAAGCTGGCTTTGGGGCATGTGCCAGAAGTTGTGGGTGCGGTGCCTCGAGCGCCACACCCATCAGAAGCCTCCCGCATTTTCGCAAGACTTCCTTCCGGACAACGGGTGTCTAAAAGTTAATGTTTCAAATAATAATGTAGTGCTACTACCTTTCAGTCCATAATTCTTTTTGTGAAAGACTTGAGCAATGCAGGAACAGTCGTGTGGCGAACCAAGTGCAATTGCTACGCCTTCGACGACGACGGCCATGAACGCCCTCTGACGTCGCTCGAGTACGTACTACTGTTCAACGAGTTGTCCAAGTGAGGTTAACATGCCATATCGTCTGAGGAGCTCACCAAGTGATTCTCCGGATTCATTGTAAATTGCAAGCAAATTTCCAGAGCTCACCAAGTGAGCTTCGTCATAGCTTTCACTGTTTCATTCTGCACTTTCCGGAAGAAATCATCACAATCATCTCTGTACTGCGATGATTAGACATGAGCCTCTAAATGATTCAGAAACCATCCGAAGTCTGACACAGGTAATGTTTGCATCAGTTCCAAGCTCGTGCAAAGCATAAGCTACTAGACCCGGCTGATTGCAAGAAGAAAATGTCGGTCTGGATATCACTAGTGTGTGGAGGAAGTGTGTGCCAGCAAGCAGTATCGATGTTGTGCTTTGATTTCGTTCATGTCTGCTAGTTTTCTTGGATCCAAAAGCATAAAGCAGTGTAGTCCGTTCTTTCTTCGCGTCATACTTTCCGCGATGGATTGCGCAGGACGTGATGGGAACGCCTCTCTCAACACCGGCATCGAAGCCACACAGGGCATGCATTTATCCAAACCTTTGCCCTTCCCAACCTTCACTGACCAAGCTCCTGGAGGAATGTCGGTAGCGGATCTTCCCTTGCAAGAGCTCTCTGGCGCCAACACCACCCTCAAGCATTTTGTTGACATCATCCATGACGTCGCGCCCCCCAACAAGTCGGACATCGAATCGGCCGTCACAAAAGGCAATTGGAGCCCCAAGGACATCCCGGCGCCTTTCTGCCACAAAACAGATATGGAGATCAAGCTCATCACCCAGTTTGTGGTTCTACCTCAGCAGAACGACAAAGTCACCGTTATCAAACACATGTACTGCCACGAGTTCAAGCTGAACAAGTCCACAGTCGAATCCTTGTGTCATAGTGAACCGCAAACCTTGCGATGGCATGGTCAGGCTATGAACTGCCGGAAGGCCTGGCAGTGGTTTCTCGAACAACTGGGGGGCTGGCAGTGTCGACAATATGCGTTGACACATGTTCTTCCGCATCAGAAAGCTGCTGCAGATGCTGGCGGTTCTTTCATGTCCAATCTCACTGAGGAGGACGTCGACAAAGGATTTCAATTCATCGCAGACGAAGCTCCTAATCTGGGCAGCGAGTGATAAAAGGTCACATGGATTACCAAGAACGTCAGTGTCAACAAATCATCACCAATTTACTCATGGCCACAGGCACTCGTCGACAAATCGCTGAGAGCCATCCAGACTGATGGTGTCTTGGCACTCCCGGTCGAAGATTTCTTCTTCACTTTGGCAGATGTGGACCTAGACGTTCTTGACTTCGCCGTTCGTCCCATTATCAAGACCATGAAAACCGTTGCCGCCGGGATTCTAGGAGGCCCTGGCAGCGGCAAGACACCTCTTGCACGGATCATCGCTCTATGTGCTTCGCGATATTGGAAACGCGAACTCGGTATCTCCTCCCCGGCATCCTTCCGAGAAGCAAGTGAATTTGATTCTGGGATTCGGAAAGCAATCTCTGGTGTTGGTACCCTTTTAAACATCATCATAATAGTGCGGTTGAAACATACTAAGATATTTCAATGCCCAGGATTTCTTTCGCGGACAGCCTGGCCGCAAAGATCGACCGGATGTACATGATGACGGGCGTCTCGCAGAAGAACCTATTCGCAAAATGAAAGGTTTCACTGACGTCGGTTGCACCATGATGACCAAGGAGAGGTGGGGGGCTGCCAAGTTCGTTCAAGGTCAAATGCGTGTCTTTGTGTGCAACGACTATGTTTTCACGGAAGCTCTCAAACAGCTGCAAGATCATCGCTCTGGCTCCATCTCTTACCTGACACATGAAGAATTCTTGGATGTGATCGCTCCAATGTTCCCCAAAGACACAGAAGATCCACACAAGATGGCTGTTCTGAAGCGCTCTAACATCCTTGTCAGTGCAGGCAACTGCTTACTTTTCCGTCGCTTTACCCAAGAGGAGATCACGGTTCCATGTCTCAGCATGGGTGCTTCTGCTGAGTTTCTGAAACCTTCCAGTGGTGACAGGTATCAACAGTACCGCGACACCAATGTCTCCATGCATCCGAATTTCCAGCGAGACGTGCAGTGGGAGGCTGACTATGTGGACGCAATCCTCAATGGTAAAACGCCGCCTCGTCCGGGCATCACTATCATAAACAGCAATGCCATTCGCCAGTTGTTTCATGGAGATACTCCAGCTTCCAAATCATCTTTCGCGGCCGCCGCCTCCCATCAGCAGCTGTCCCGCTCAGGTACCCCGCCTCCCAAGGCGCCGTCGGCGGCAACCTCTTCGAATGAACCGCCAGCCCACATCAAGCAGGAGCCCATCGCATTCAACCGCAAGTTGTCGAGTTTGTCAGGTACGATCATTGACTTAGACAGTCCACCACCAAAGGTTTCGCGCAGGAACTCTGCCATCGACGTGCATTCCGGCGAGATCCTTGCAGAGCCTGCCCACACGCATTTCGCTGAGCCCGTCGGCCCGCCATCAGAAGCCCCATCACAGGGTAGCCCTATGGATGTGATGGAGGAAGAACTGCACGATCCCATGGATGATCTCGAGAAGCTGCTCGAGGAGGACATGGACAGGCTTGTGGCGGCAGAAAAGTGAACATGATCTGTACAAATCCAATACGTCCGCCGTCTAAGTAATCGTATGCACAAACTATGCGCGTGATGCTCATGATGTCCTATACGGTCTTATGCGGTAAAACTGCACGTAAAGAGTCTAGTAATGTGAGTTTTCCTAATCAAGAAGCAGAGCAAACAGCGCATAGTATTTTGGTGTGATTGCTGTAGATGCTTGATGACCAGCCGCCTTGGTTTACAAAACTAGTTTCCTGCAGTGAGCTCAACAGTTTGCAGCAGGCACTTTTCCGTGATCTTGTTGATGTCTCATCGCGTTTTGTGTAGAGGAAACTTGCTATGGATGGCTTGCCATTTGAAGCGATCAATTGTGTGTATCCACGTCCCTTTGATCTTCCTCAGCTTCACCATGCCGCCCAAGGAGAAGTTCAACCCCTTCCCGCCTCCCAAAAAAGGCGTGCGACGGATGATTGCGAAGAGACCTGCAGCTATGAAGTCTGCGATTTGGAACAAAATTCCTTATGTCAAAGACAATAACGGTGGTCATGTGCGTTTGGAGAAGGCCAAGTGGCGCCGCACCATCCAGGAACTCCTTTCAGCAAGCAACGAGAACTGCGGACGGCATTCTCCCTGATTGGAAAGGTTGTGTATGTCCGCATTGTCAATGTGGTAAGCTCGGTCCTCTCACCTCCAATGGCCGCGATGACATCCTGCGCTACAGGTGCAACAAGAAGGGCTGTCAGCGTTATTTTCTTCCTCAACACCTACACCCATTCTTCACGGCAACGAACGGGCCAGAGGGTCACTCGCTTCAAATGCAGGCTGCAGCACTTCTTCTTCGTCTCCTCAATGTTCCGCTGTCCAGTATCCATTTGCTCACACACATCAATCACAAAGCCCTAGAAAGGCTCAACCGCAACATCTTGCTCATGCGCAAGGGCTATGTCCAAAAGGCGGAGAAGGAAATCAAGTTCGAAGGCTGTCCAAGGGCTTGGAAAGAGGTCGAAGCCGACGAAGCGACCTTCGATAAGAAGACTCTTTCCCCTCAGGAGCTCGGCGTGAACCATGACAAACCAGTGCTCTGGGAGCAGTGGGGAGCCATAGTGCAGCGCGGGGCTCCTGAGACCCTCGTGTTGACCAAGCTAAACCCAGCAATGACAGTTCCTCGTGCGCCCGGTCCTGGTGCCATCAGAAAGGTGGATTGGAAACCTCTGGCCTTGAAGCACATCGCAAACCGAAATGTCATCCTCCACACGGATTCGGCCCGCTCCTACAAAATGAAATTGCCCGGGGTTGTGCACGATGCAGTGGTGCACAAGAAGAAACGTGTCAAGAAGAACGGCAAGTGGGTGTGGTTGAAGCCGACCTTCGTTCGCATCTCGAAGCACAAGTTGCCTGATGGCCGTAGAATTTCCTGTAAAGCGGGCACCCAAATCGTAGATCGCGCGTGGAAATTCATCAAAGCCAGACTCACCAGGAACCAGTATGTAAAGGCATCCTCCTTGTTGCTTGCTGCACAGATTCGCAGTGCACAGTGGGAGTACTGGAACCGCCAACGTGATCTCTGGTTGTGTACTGGGCATGTTGTTGCTTCCTACATGGAAGGCATTGTGAGGAGGTGAATACCGAGTACAGATCTCTGGGCCTCTAACCTGTGATTTTGAGTAAAGTATGCACTTCGTACGCACTGCACACCTGTTTGCCAGAGTCACACAGGAAAGCTTGAGGCTTCAGATTGCCCGAAAGAAACGAATATGCAGTGAGCCAGTGCTGTGAGTGTGTGTGTGTGTGTGTCGGATGCGGCACCAGCACAGCTTGCATGAAGTTGCTGCTCGCGTGGCTCACAGATACGCATTGACATTAGCAATGCACGGCATTCAAGAGACAGTTTCGGCTTGGTGCTAACCTGCAAGCAGTTTATCAGCATGTGGAGCCTGTCACACAATTATACAACCTGAACCCTGGACACTGCAACACTGCAACAGACCTCCGTTCAAAACCTGAAGCTGTGAACCCTTGAGACTGGTGGGTGAGGGATCGCAGTCTGTTGATGCTTGTTGCATGTCTAAGGACACCTGGCCGCACTGGTTGTCTCTGGGCACTTTACATGTACACGTATATGCATATAGATATATGTATGATGATGTCTTCAGGTGTATATGTGTATACAGTAGTTTCTGTTTCTTGTCGGATTTCACTCTGGATTAGGCAAGAAGCTGCCTTATAGAAGACCAAAAAGTGTAGGTACGTCGGGGGGGGTAGCATATATATGTATGTATTTTTTTGCAACATGATATTACTATATCTATAAGTAAAATTTGCTTACAACCATGTTGAAATCATAGTACGGTGCCTTCAAAATTCATTGGTAAGGCTTGAGCCCCTTAGATCTAAACCCTAAACCCCTAAACCCCTAAAAAAAACCCTAAAACCCTAAACCCCTAAAAACACCCTAAAACCCTAAACCCCTAAAAGCACCCTAAAACCCTAAAACCCCTAAACCCTAACCCCTAAAGCCCTAAACCCCTAAATCCCCCCGACTGGCTGGGACTCTTGGCTGCGGTGGCGCTATAATCTTCACGGCCACATCGCAGATAAGACATCAGCTGCCTCAGCCAAAAAATGGACGGGGGGGGTTCGGATTTAGGGTTGCAGAGTCTTAAGATTTAGGCTGCCTCGGCCAAAAAAAGAGGGGTTCGTCGGATTTAGGGTGGTTTCAGGCTTCGGATTTAGGGTCATAGGGCTTCTATAGCCTTTTCAAGGCCGCGCCCTATTGGGGGTTTCGAAGTTAGGGTTGCAGATCTAGTTTTAGGGTTTAGGCTGCGCTCTTATTTAAGGAGCCCTCTTTCATTTACCATACATGTACTATAGATCCCTATTGTGTGGTAACTTAAACTAAATCCCCTGACAAGAACCCAGCCCTAATGTAGACCTCTATGTCAGATATAGAACCCCACTATAGATCCCTTATAGTACCCCTTATAGACCATCTTTAAGACTCCAGTTCCGGGTTTAGGTTTTACATGTGACATGCTGGTAAGAATTGCATGCGTAGCTTAGGGCCTTGGTGCCTCATGACGTGGCAGGGTTTGGGGTTCAGGGTTCAGGGTTCAGGAACTCTGAACCCCCTTTTCAGCTGAGTTGCGGACTCGGCTCTAGATTTGTTTGTTAGGGGCCAGCTTATATCTTCACGGCGAGGAACCTTTTGCCCTGCCGTGTGGTGTTAGGTCATCTAGACGAATGGAATGCACGACAAGTCTTATTCACGTAGAAGGGGGGTGGGGGAGGGGTTAGTATGTCCCTATTCTAATTATTAAGGCCCCCATACTATAGTACCCTTATAGACCCCTTATAGTAGCCCCTATAGTTTCCTTAAGAAAAGTAGTATCTCCCAGCTACACGGCCCCCAAAACCGGAGAATGCTTGGAGCAGGCCCCAAACTTGGGATCCTAAACCCCTAACCCCTTCTCCCGGAAGTTTCAAGCCCAAACCCCATAATACTATATCCCAAACCCTAACCCTAAACCCAAATCATAAATCCTAGTAGCCCTACAGTAAGCCCCAAATGGGAGATTCCAAAAATAGGGGACCCCAATTTAATACCTTAAAAAGGAGGATCCTTATTATAAGGACCCCAAAACAAGGTACCCCTAATTTTTCGGAAACTTTTCAACCCTAAACCCTTTATAGAACCCCTATAGATCCCTTTAAGGAACCCCTATAGATCCCTTTGAGGAACCCTTGAAGGATCCTTTAAAGGTACCCCCGATTTTCGGAAACTCCCAAATGCCCTGGACCCTGAACTCTGACCAGTACAACCCCGAGGCCTGGGGTCTGGATCCGGGTTTAGGGTTTAGGGTTTAGGATTTAGGGTTTAGGGTGTGTAACAGTATGCGCGCGGTGTGCGCCTTTTACTTTAGGAATAGGGGGCGCGCCCACTAATCGCGCGCTTGCGTCAGCATGTAGTCCCGCCCCAACCACCCCAACTATTCTCAATTAGGGTTTAGGGTTCACCCCCCAAACCCCCCTCAAGGGGGGCTTTCTTGCTCTCTGCTTCCTTTCGCAGCTTGACATGTAAACAACAATATTTCTCCACAAATCACTGCTGAAATGGTTTCTGTCGGGTTGTGGGTCCTCGCGGCCTGTGCCGGCCGCTCGACAAAAAGCACGGGTTTCCAACAAATTTCGCGCCCTATAAGGGCTGCTCGAAGTGCAGGGCAGGGCAGGGCAGGGCAGGGCAGGGCAGTGCAGGGCAGGGTAGGGTGCAGGGCAGGGCAGGGCAGGGCAGGGCAGGGCAGGGCAGGGCAGGGAGGGCAGGGCAGGGCAGGGGCAGGGGTTGGGGCAGGGGGGGCGCCTTTTTGGAGGGGGGTCCCCAGCCAGAACCAAAAACACATCAATGGTCGTGGGTTTGGGGTCCTCATTATAACGGACTGACGTCCGTATTGTGTGAGGCGTAGCCGAGTCATTTCCGTCCCCGTATACCGCGAGGCTTTACCCTCCCTCACCGTCTTGTCAAGACGCTCGGCCGGGAACCTCGCTCGGAGCCTCGAGCGCCCATGCAAATGGTCAGCGCAGTTTAGGGTTTAGGGTTTAGGGTCTAGGGTTTAGGGTTTAAATAGGGTTTAGGGTTTAGGGTTTAGGGTTAAGGGTTTATAAACCTCCTCAAACCCAACGAAGCCCTTATGTAGGCGCCCTGAAAACTGGAATAAGGGTTCCCTTTTTAAGGATCCTTAAAGAGGTCTACACGGGATCTATGATACTGTAAGTATAATCAGGACGCCCAATGAGGTAAAGTTCATTATCAGGGCCCCTATAGTATGACCCTGAAGCCCCATGCGCTCCAAACCTCTGTTCCAAACCTCTGAACTTGAAAACCCTTCAACTCAATGCAGGAAGGTTCTGAAAGGCATCAGGGATAGTGGAGGCTCCGAAACCCTAAACCCCAATGCCCAAACCTAAAGGGTAGAGGTTTGGGCTTTCGGGGTTTGCAAGGTCGTGTGCCAAGAACCCAGACCTTCCAAAATCCCTTAATTAAGGAGTATACCTCAAATTATAGTAGGATCCCCAATATGATTTAAGGTATATTCCTTAATTAAGGGATTTTGGAAGGTCTGCAAACTTCAGGTAAAGATCCGGCTTCGGAGCCCCTTTTTGGGCACTGGCGTTTGGCAGGTGGTCGGTCGTGGCGTCATTATGTATTGAAAAATGGTAATCGATGTCAGATCTCTGCTGTCTGGTGCCCAGAAGTGCCAAGAAACACCAAACGGTCTGATGGCACAAATTCTCAGGATAAAAGGACACAGTAGTCCTAACTCATTGGCTGCTAATGAGAGAGAAACCACCCAACACCCCAAGTGGGCAAACAGTGGCCAAAGCACGAGGGATCCAGCAGCTACAGCGGCCGCCACGGTTTGGAGTTCAAGGTTTAGGGTTCAGGAGTTTCGGGTTTAGGGTTCAAGAGTGCAAGAGCCGCAAGCTGCTTCTCCTGGCTAGTTGGCCAAACAACGACTTGCTTCATTGCTCTGGCACTCCATCGCTCCGATCGACCAAACATTCAACCGACAATATTCGGGCCTGACGAATTTCAAGTGGGCCTTGAGGTTCATGGACGTATAGTATAGGGACTATATCCATCTATATGTATAAAGAATATATAAGTAACTAAGTACACATATAATAAACAAACAAACAAATCAATAAATGAATATATGTACACATGCCCGGGCTTAAGAGACTGAATAAGTCTTCCGATCTCACCGACCCTTTATACCGAAACCTCGGGAAATACGGGGTTGGGGCCTAGGCCTTAAGGCTTAGAGTTTAGGGTTTAGTCTGTAGAGCCATTGCTCGCGCTTGTCCAGTGTCCAACCATGTCTAAACCAAGACATGTGGCTGGTCGGGGCTGATTGTGCAGGATACAGGGTCTCGTCCAGGGTACCCTAAATCAAAAAATGCAACTGTTTGACATTGAAAGGCTGGAGCAAGCTCCCGAAAAAAAAACAAGCAAGTAGCGCAATACAAATTGTATGATATGTTCCCGAAAACGTAAACCCTAAACCCTGAACCCCAAACCCTGAACCCGTAAAGCAAGCAAAAGACGCAAAGCCGAACCTGGGAGCCTCAGAGAAAGAGGCCCCCCATGGGGAGAGCAATGACAAGCGAGGCGTAGGTGCTTGGAGGATCTTGGGACTTGGTAACTACCATTTGCTTAAGAACCCCCAAAAAATAAAAAATATATTCCTTATGGGGGTAATATAGGGATTATTATTTTTATTTTTTGGTGGTTTCTTAAGCAAATAGTAGGTAACTTCAAGTGTTCGTTAAGGGGCTCTGGAAAGGGGTTTGCGGTTTAGGGGTTTAGGGGTTTAGGTCTTAGTAAATGAAAGGGTTCCTTACAGGGTTCCTGAAAGGTGTGCAAGGCTTCTGGTGGTCATGGGACCTCGTAGGTAAAGTTCGAAGGGTTCAAAATCGTCTCTAAGGGTGCCATAAGGGTTCCGTGTGGTTTTAGGGCTCCGGGACGTAGTGCAGAAAGGTATAAGCAATTACAATAGTCTTTTCCATCATCCTAGTTACCAAGTCCCAGGATCCTGTAGGTATCTGAGCCCACTTCTAAGGCTCCACA